TTTTTTTTTTTTTTTTTTTTTTTTTTTTTTTTTTTCTGGAGCTCATGTGATCCACTTCTTTTTCAATCATTCAATGGCATCCTCTCCACATACGTGATGTGTGATCACAAGGCTAAGACTTCACCATCAACCAACTACTGGTGGAAGAGTTCAGAATAAAATGTCTAGACTCACGAGAATTCATTAGTGTCCATCTTTGTTGACAGATTGTAAGTCATGTCATTGGGTACAACTAGTGCCACATGCACTAGCTAAACTAAAGGCATGCATACAATGCCAACATTCATATTCAAGGGTTTTGAAGTGACATGATAAAAGCAAAGTGCAAACAGCTTCTAGCGGCAACTAATGGATTTATTTGAATTTAGTAAATTACTGTGACACTAACACTTCCAGAGTCTAGCAAATTTCGCCCCAATATTTTTCCGTTTCATAACCCCACAATAATTCCCTTAATTGTTCAAAGACCCCCTCCATTTTTTTTTCTACCGTAACTCCCTTGATTGTTTAGAACCAATTGCATTGTGTACCCTTGTGACCCAGACAGCGTCAAGACTCAAGAGTGACATCCGATAAATAGTCTATTTTAATACAAATTATAAATATTTTTGAGAATTTCTCTACTGAAGAATAACTCTTTATTTTTAGTGGAGAAACTCAAGAACTCTTCTAAAGCTTATATCCATTAAGACTCAAAACCAAAGTGCAAAAAGCTTTTGGCAGCAACTAATGGATTTATTTGAATTTATGGCTCTCAGCCTGGGTTTACAGTTACACGCAATTTATGTGTGAAGAAAATAACTCGAGCATGATAAATTTACACTAAAAGACTCCGAAGGGTCCTACAACATGTGCTCTTTTACATGGTTGATGACAGACACCCGAGGATGGGAAAATTTTCCAAGTTGAAAACAGTCTTACACAGGGACTGGTGTGGCTTCATCAAGAGCAAGGACTCCTGGAAGCTCTTTGCCTTCCAATAACTCCAAACTGGCACCGCCACCAGTAGATATGTGACTCATGACACTAGCAACTCCTACTTTCTCCACAGCTGCAACAGAATCTCCCCCTCCAATAATTGTGGTCACCCCCTTTCCACTGAGGTCAGCCAATTTCTTTGCAATAGCCTGAAAGAAGGGTACAAAATGTAAATTATGTACAGTGCACACATTTATTAGCCAAACAGATAGAATATTCTGTAGTAACTGCAGATGACATTTGAAACACATTCCTGATCCGATACATTACTTGTATATAAATGAACAATGATATAGTTTGTTGAGATGGCCAAATCACATTAGGAAGGCCAACTCCTACTGCATATTTATGAGAGTATGCATCACTTTATAGTGCACGTTTTTTATACTGACTGCGAACATGCTTTAACATATAATTTGAACCAAACTCCATACGAGTGTGTTTTTGCATACCTCTGTTCCAACAGCAAACTTGTCAAATTCAAACACTCCCATTGGCCCATTCCATATGATGGTTTTGGTGGTATCCAATGCTTCACTGAATGATTTAACAGAATCTGGACCAATATCCAATCCCATCCAGCCATCAGGGATGGCAGATGCTGGCACGACCTGAAAGGGTTAATGCAGAATTTAAGTTCTAGCTGCAAATGTTTCAGAATGAATAAATACTCACATTATAAATAATTGTCTTCCATATCATTAATATTTCAAGTGGTTCAATTGACCATGTCTTCTGACCAAATATCTTATCTAAAGAAGCTTACAAATTAGAAAACAAACCTTGCTGTTTGCATCAGGAGCAAATTTGTCTGCAATCACCACGTCACTTGGTAACAAGAGAGAGACACCCTTTGCTTTGGCTTTTGCAAGTAGTGATGTAGCAAGCTCCAACTTATCTTCTTCTACAAGGGATGAACCCACTGAAAGACCTTGTGCCTTGTAAAATGTGAAGATCATTCCTCCACCAAGAAGAAGGATGTCAACTTTTTCTAAAAGTGACTCGATCACTCCAATTTTAGACGAGACCTTGGAACCACCAACAATGGCAGCAAATGGCCTTTTGGGGCTTGATACTGCCCCAACAAGGTAATCAAGCTCCTAAAAACATGAAAGATAATATGAAAATTAGTTATTATGGTATTGATCAAATATACATATAAATTTCTTATAAAATGAAAAGTTAGCTTTTCCTTTAAGACTAATTGACATTTGACATTAACTTTTATTTTACACCAAGTGATCGAACTTTTTAATATTATAAGATTACTCACAATAAAGTAATAGAAATGAAGTTCAAGAGCTTTATCGAGATAGTTTATAGAAATTGAGTTAGCTGCTGATACTAATTTAGTAAACGAGAAGAGATGAACACACCTTTTGCAAAAGAAAACCTGCAACAGATGGCTTCAGGTATTTAGTAACACCCTCTGTTGATGCATGTGCCCTGTGAGCAGTACCAAATGCATCATTCACGAACAGATCTGCCAGAGAGGCAAGCTTCTTTGCATGCTCAGGATCATTCTTTTCTTCCTCCTTATAAAACCTCACATTTTCTAGAAGAAGAACACCTCCGTCTGGAAGAGCATCCACCAACTTTTCTACTTCTGGGCCAATACTGTCATCAGCCTTGACAACCTATGAATTACCCACATCCAAACACGGACAAGAACATCGGAATTAACCACCAATAATCACAATATTGGTAAAATATCTCTTCTCTCTTCCAATATAATCCTCCATGATCAACACATAAACATACCTGGATGCCAATGAGTTCAGAAAGCCGGGGTACAAGAGGTGCCAAGCTGTATTTGGGAGTGACACCCTTTGGTCGCCCCTGGAAATTCAATCAAAAGTTGCAACAATTCAACTCACAAGTTCAAACCATAATAACTCACATATCTACTCTGCTTTTGCAACAAAAACACATTAAGAAAGCTTATTGTATACATTGCCAAAATTATAACAAAACCCGATTGTTCTACCCATCCAAGATTATTTCTTTCAAGTTTTGACTATAAACCTCAGTATCTCAACTAAAATAAGAAATTAGATTGTTCCACAAATAGAAACACCCTTGTTGCCCCTGATTGATCCCTCAAAAGTATCCACTCTCATTAGCACAGACAACAGACCAGAAACAAAAACTGAAATAAAAAAATAATAATAATAATAACAGGATGGAAAAAATGTTCTTCTTTGAAATACAAAAAACTCAAACACATCAAAAAACTGAAGACCCAACCAAAAATCTTAATCTAAGCAAAGTAAATAAATAAAACAACTTCATAATTACAAACTAGGAAAAGCCAAATGTACCATTGTAAGCAATGATAAAATAAAGAGAAATGCTAGCAAGTAGCAACCCACACCCAAATACACTCTTTTGAATTTGAAAATCATAAAATTCCGCTAGGCTCGCTTCGTATTGGATGAGTTCCCCCTCATGATTTTGTAGTCTTCAACAAATGTTACCATATAACAGCAAGTGGGATCATTAATAGAAAATGTGTTGCTAGAAATTCTCTCAAAATAAAAGCACAAAACACAAATTTGGTTCTTAAAGTACTATGGATGTTGGGTGAGTCATTTCTTATTTGACGATCATGATTTAGCAGTCTTCAATTTTTTTTTACAAATAATAGCGAGTGAGCACCTTAAAAGAAGTGTATTTGAAAATGTGTCACTAGAAATTCTCTCCAAAATAAAAGACACAAAACACAGATTTGGTTCTTAAAGTACTACCGATGTTGTTGTCCGATCAGAATATAAGTTCAACCTCGATAGTCTTTTCCGACCTTGCAAATCTTTATTATCACACTATCGAGCTGAAACTCTAATTCTAATATACCATCTATAGAAAGTGGAGTCTATCTCAATCTTACAAGAACTGAACTGAAACTCTAATTTTAATATACCATCTTTAGAAAGTGGATTTGAGTATAACTCAATCTTACAAAACTGAACTCCAATTCTAATATACCATCTTAAAATAGTAGATTTGAATCTAACTCAACTATACAAATCTAAGTTCTAATATACCATATTAAAATAGTGAATTTGAATTTAACCCAATTTTACAAAACTAACTTGTAAAATAATGAATTTGAATTTAACTTAATTTTACAAAACCAACTTGTAAAATAATGAATTTGAATTTAACTTAATTTTACAAAACCAACTCGTAAAATGATGGATTTGAATTTAAGTCAATTTCACAAAACCGACTTGTAAAATGATAGATTTGCATTTATGTAAAACTTTACAAAGCCTACTTCTACTTGTAAAATGATGATTGCCCACACTCATGTGTGATCTCCAACAAGATAACAATTAAAAAAAAAAAAAAACAGTTAACTAACTTTAACACAATAGAGGAGATTTTTTACACAAGGAGGTGAATGTGGGAAAGAAGAACAAACCAAGTGGCTAGAGAGGATGACTTTGGCGCCGTTCTGGATGAGGTGCTTGATGGTGGGAACGGCGGCGCGGATTCTGGTGTCGTCGGTGATGTTCTGGTTGTCGTCGAGCGGGACGTTGAGGTCAGCTCTCACGAACACTTTCTTCCCCTTCAAGTCCGACGCGCTCAAGTCCCCCACGCTCTTCTTCGCCATCGACACCACCCCTCTCGCGGCACTCCCGCCCCTCACGGCCGCCACGCGCGCCGCCACGTTGGCCGCCAGCAGCGGGTCGGCGGCCGCGAAGCCCAGGCGGCGGGAGAGGGGGCGGACGCGGAGGGAGGAGGAGGAGAGCTGCACGCGCGCGGCGGCGGAGGAGGAGGAGGAGGCGGAGGAGCCCGCGGCGGCGGAGTGGAGGAGGGAGAAGGTGGTGGGGGCAGCGGCTGAGGCCATTGTGGTGTGGAGTGAGTGAGTGAGTGTGTGTTTGTGTGTGAGAAAGGGGTGTTTGGGGGTTTTATTAGAGAGAGAGATGAAAGATGTGGACGTGGAGTACAAAGGGGGAACGATTGGGTGAGGTGAGAGGATTTTGGATTTCTCTTATCGTTCAGGAGAGGTTCAAGATCTTCCTTGCTTTTCACTCATATATGTGCCTCGTGCAATCATGAAGACATTTTTTTTTTTGCAATAATATAACATCGCATGAATTTGTCTTGCATTTGCAAATTGTCACTTCGGTTAAAAAGTCGCTTGTGTGTTGTTGGTTTAATTTATTTAAAAATAAAATAAATAAATGTTATAAATAAATTTGTGTGTGATTAACAAGAATTATCTATAAAAAAGTGAAAAAGTGTGATAAGTTCAAATAAGTGCTTTGAAAGTTGAAGGAAGAATGTGTATCCAATCATCTTTATTAATAATTAGTATAGTCGAGATATTTCGTATTTTTGTGAATATAGTCGTGAGTAGTGAATGATAGAAATAATTATCTAATAAAAAGTGTGTAAAGTAGAGTAGAAATAAGAATATTTATTAAATTTGTGTAAAAAATTAGGATAAAAAGGTCTTAAAAAGATGGAGACTAAAAAGGAGTTAAGTATTTCTTTTATGTATTATTATAGATTATATATATATATATATATATATATATATATATATATATTACAGTTGATGTTATTGAATGATAAGTATTTATAGGGTAAAGTACACTTTTTTTGTCATCTTAATTTGTATTAAAAAATATCCCGTGTTAAATTTGAATCCCAATAATGTTATTGTAATATTGATGGATCAAAGAAATATTTCTTTAAGTTTTAGTTTGATGTTATAAGTTAAAAAGAAGTTTTTAGAATTATGTCTTTCCCCGTCTTTATGTGAACAAAGAGTGATTATGTAGTGATAGTTTCCCACACTAGTTTAGAGTGTTTCATTAAAAGAAAAACTAAATGTGCATGTCAAGGTAGTTTTTTTCCCATTGCAGTTGTAGACACTCAATACACCACATTTCTCCATTGTTGTATTTAATTGAATGTTTCCATATTTGTATTTTTTTTCTAATATTTTACCTGTGTAAGGGTCACAATTTGTGACGATCATATTTTTTTTTCTTTGTATTTACTTGCAATACAATAAAGTATTTATGTTTTGTGTGGAATATTTGAATGATAAAATAATGGGAGTGATTTGTTAGTCTTAAAAGAAAAGTAAATACATTCAAAGTGATTTGTTAATAATGTGTTGTTTTATTGATTCTAGATGAAATTTGTGATATTTGATATGATTACAAATAATAGTTTTCCTTATTTTTGTGCAGATATTAAAATAGACAAACTATAGATAGAAGATACACTATACACTCATAAATGATGCAATGAAATCCAATACAAGAATAACTTTGAAATGAAATGTTTTTATTTAAAATATAACATGTGTTATATATGGTTGTTGGTAGGAATTGAAGGAGATAAAAGATTGGACGAGGTAGAAGATAAGGACATTGGAAGTGTTGAGGATGGGAATGAAAATGAGTATGAAGATGAAGACCAATATGAAGAATATGAGGAGGATATACAATGTTACTGATGAAGTTGTTGCAATAAGTTGTGCAGAATATAGCATAGTTGTAAATGACGTTGTTGACATCTTAAATATTGACGCAAGGGAAATATATTAGTTGATAATATTGCAAGGTTGGATCTCATTGATCTTAAAGTTGTGTACCTTTTTACAATTATCATGCACAATTTAATGGTTTTTCTATTTGCAAAAGTCATGTGGTAAGAAACAAGATGGGGAAAACATTGTAACAAACAATTATTTGCTCATGTGCAGGTTTTAAAGAAGATATGAGTTCAATTTTAGGAAGCAAAAAACATGAATTAAAAAATGAAGCAAGGTGTGGGTCTGATGTCATGTTTCAAGTCCATGTGAACATATACAATAGTGATGGTATGTGCCTTTATTTAATTTTGATCATAATAATGTCATGTCGGATGAAATTTATTCAACATTACTACCAACACATAGGAAAATGATAGCCACTAAAATTATACAAGTTGAAACATTTGAAGGGTTGGTATTAGAACTCTTCATATATTTGTTGCATTTACAAACAATTCTGAGGGGATATCACAAGATATGATGGAATTGTAAAATTTTTATCTATGTGTTTCTACAAATTATTATATATATTAAATATTATGTAAGTTACTGTGAATGAAATTTATGTAGCATTATTTAACCAGATTTTCTAAATTCAATAACATGTATTTTATTATCTAATTTGATTGTTTCTTGGACAGCGTTGAGAGCACGCTGTAAAATATGAAAAACTCAATTTAAGAAAATTTAAGTAATCTATAATTTAAATAATAATTTATTGAGTGTAGATTAAGAATAAATACAGTTAAGAGAGAAAATCTCTAAATTCAAATTTATAGAAATTCTCTAAGGATTTAACTAAAAAAAATTATTCTGCTAAAACCTTAAGCTAGAAAATTATGGAAGAATGTTCAAAAGGATATAATAATTTTATCATCGATATAGTATGCTTAGAATTATTAATAAAAATGTATAGTTAGGTGAAATTAAAATACAAGTCTCAACCAATTAAATTATGACACATAAGCAAATATGAATTTATTCAATTAATATTAATTAACATAATTAAGAGATGATCAAGAGATAAAAATTTGTATTTTTAATGGTCAAGATTCTAATGATGATATTAGTATCTCAAAATTGTAATTAATTTGTAAGATATTTTAATAATTCTACAATGTTCTAAAAAGTTCTACAAAACTCTCCAAAGTAGATATCTAATTACCAAATGATTAAATGGGTTGGAAGCTAAACTTTTAAGATATTCAAATAACTCAAGAAAGTTCTATAAAATTCTACATAATAGAAATCTAGAACGGATTAGATGCTTAACCATTAAGATATTTAAATAATTCTACAAAATTCTAGGATGTTCTATAAATTTCTACAAAAAAAGGGACACATAATCACCATGTGATTAAAATGAATTGAAAACTTAATCATTAAGATAACTAAATAACTCTACAAAATTCTAGAAAGTGGACATCTCATCACCAAACTATTAAATAAATTGGAAACTTAATCATTAAGATACTTAAATAATTCAAGGAAATTCTAGAAAGTCCTATAAATATCTACAAAATGGACACCTAATCACTATGTTATTAAAATATCTTAGGAAATATCAAGAATACACATCTAGAAGATTGGAGAATGGAGGTGGAGACTAGTATAAATAGGAGAAACCACACACCAAAAAGCTCACCATCAACCCTTAACAACTAGACATAAACCAATGCCAAAGAAACACCCAAAAATACTCCATCTTTTCCACAACCAAGGAGTAAAACAAGGAGTAAACAACTAAAATTCAAGAAAAGGGGAAGAAAGGAAGAAGATAAGAGGATGAAAAAGAAGTAGGAGAAGAAGAAATCAAGGAAATTAGGAAAAAAACTCGCAAGCTTGGAGAAATAGGTATGGGTTAGATGTTTAATTATATTCATGTCTATATAGTTGTAGAATAAATATTAATTTTTACTTATAAGTTTTGATGCATGGAACCTTAGGTTAGTTGATATGGTTTTTTATTGTACTTTTTGATAAATTTGATGCTTTAAGGTTGAATCTTGAAGTGGTTGATTGTTTATGATTGAACGTTTCTATTGAAATTGTTTAAATTGTATTTGAAGAGTTTGATTGAGAATAATTTTTAAAGTGATAGATTAATAGCGATGCATATTGTATATTGCATATTGCATAATGTCATTTTTGAGCCAAAAGATTTTTGGGGGGAAAAGAAAAGAATTTCAAAAAAAATAAATATTTGTGAAATGAATTTTGTACCAAGGATATTTGATATGAGAATTGTGATAGTGGGTACTGTCAAGGACAGTTGGCAGTACGAGATGGATAAAGAAAAGGATAAAGTGAGAGAGAGTTTGATATGGTTGTGAAAGTCTGACTGAGGTATTTGTTTTATGCTACCAATGTCAGAAGATAGTAAATGGGGTTTGAGCAGAATGGGTAAGAAGGGACCTCTGGTCTGGAGGATAGACCTCTAGTCTAGGGAGTGTTTGGGCATGGGCAATCCCATAGATGGCCAGTCTTTATTGATTCTGTGTCGTGGTAGCCTGCCGGGTGCACTAACACTCTGACTACTGTCTACTTGTTCGCGTTTAGTGGGGCATTGCCGAATCACTGGACAGAGTGATGTTAAGCTCTAGCTTCACTAAACACTCAAAAGGGAAAATCTCCATGGAGTATTGAGTCAAAATGATTTTTAAAAGTATATTTTCAGTCAAAATTTGCATCTCATTCTCATAAGCATATTGCATTATTTGGATTATTATTAATGAAAAATCTTGTCAATTTGTTGTGTGTATTGATAATTGTATGAACTTATTATGCACTTATTTGCTTGTGTGAGAAATGAATGCAATTAAATGTCTAACCCCATAAATATTTTTAAACCCAGATATTGGAGATCTCATAATGTAGAAAAATTGGATGTGCAGTTAGAAGGTCAGATGCAAAAATCCAAAGCATAGGATGGGGGGTTTTATTTTACTAAGTTGTTATAAAAATGGTTTGTAATATCTAGTGACTTTTATTGAATAAAACTTTAATTAGATAAATTTAATTGATTTGTTTAAGTATCTTGTCTACACATTATAATAATATAAATATTACTAATCATAAATAATTAGTTATAATTAGCATATGTAATCTGGAGAGGGGGTTACAGGAATCACACTAAGACCAAGAAAACCAAGAGGTGATATATTGAAGGAGGCAAGAGGAATGGGTTAGTTTTGAAAACTATAAGAGGAGTAGGACTACTTTTGGGCCTTAGCTCCTAAGTTTTATTAGTATAAGATTTATTCCTATTTTTGCTCTTGTCTTTAATTTCCTATTTTACCCTTGTATTTTGGGTACCTTAGACATAGGATTTATTTTTCTTGTATTTCCTATTTTACCCTTGTATTTTGGGGTGTTTTAGTCATAGGATTTATTTTTTACTTGTATTTCCCATTTTACCCTTGTATTACGGG